GTTTGCAGCCCGATTCGTAACCACTACGCTACTAGACCTCCTTATGGACTGGTAATCTACTTTAATTAAAGCGAACTGATTTAATCACATGCAATTTCTTTAAAGGAGTCCTGGTGTGGTGCTGCAGGATAATGCACTGGACCCCAAGGCCAGTTTGAACTGTAAGGTCAGCAGGTCAAACCCACCAGCCATAACCCTACATAGGATCATTATGAGCACTTAATAACAACAATTTCTTTATAACAGCAAGTACTGTTAAGGAGCCCTGGCAGCATAGTGGATTATGCCTTGGGCTGCTAACTCACAAGATCAGCAGTTCAAATCTACCACCCGCTCCACAGGGGAAAAGTCTTTCCACTCTTGTAAAGAGTTACAGCCTTGGAAATCGTATACAGGGTCACCATTAGTAGGAACTGAAATGCAGCATACCACCACCAGACTACTGTTACACCAAACAAAACCTTACAGATAAGCATGGAATTTGGGAAATTTTTTCTTCAACTTCAAGGTTCTCAAGAAGTTCTGTAGTGAAAGAAACTGCTTAACCTTTCCTAGGTTGGATTAATAAACACAGGTTTAATAACAAATATCATGTCGAACACATAATAAAAATATTGTTTTAGTTAAGAATGTACATTTTTAGGAACAAAGTCACTGAAGAACTGAATGTTAAGGTAGGATTTGACTCAGATCTATCGCTGAGCTCAACCTTGTCATTCAAGTTTGATAGTCGAAAAATAATAATCAGGAATCTGAGTAGGTGGTTGTTAATAATATTGTTTGGATGGGCCTTGTGTATACATCTCCTTATTTATTTTATTGGAGAAAAGTGAACTATAAGTATTTTGGAGAGTCATTTGGAATCTAGAAATCCAAAAGACAGTAGGGTGCAATGTGAAGTCTCAAGTTCTGTCCTCAAAACAGCACTGCAGCGACCGCTAGGCGCTGCAAATAGCATGCTCCTTGGTATCTTTGAACCTTGGTGTTTCATATTGGTGAAGGACATTGGATCTCATTCACGGCTTCCTGAATGCTCATCACTCTTGATGCTTAGGTATTAGAAACATCACTATAGGATTTAGATAGGCTTCTGTAACTCTGGTATTTCTAGCTTGCAGAACTGGTTCTCTGGTAGACTTATACTACTCCTCAAACACCTCAGTTAAAACTATGAGTTATGGATGGAAAGGGGCTGAGGACTGTGGAGGTGGGGGGGTGCAGGTTTACAGGGTACACCCCTTGGTTGGGTGAGGATGCATGGACAGGATGATAACTATGCCAACGAAATGATGGATGATGGAATGAATGCAAAGCTGATGTTCTCCCATGTAGACTATCACACAATTCACAATAAAACATTAAAACAACAACAACAACAAACTGATCACTCAATTCACAAGAAAAGCTTTAAAAAATATAGTAAGGGATTTTTTGTGTGTGAAATGTGAAAGCTTGGCCTATAAAATAAAGCTAGATATAACAAAAAAACAAAACAAAAAAACTATGAGCTATGTTACATGTCTTATTCTTGATGACGAGCCTTTGGACAAGTCATTACCTTCCTTAAGGCTCCTTTCATCTCCTTGTTTCGAATGGTATAAATAAAGGGATTCAGAAGTGGGGTGAGGATAGTATTTAACACGGATACTACCTTATTAACCTTAAAGGAGGAGTGTGTTGTGGGTCTTAGGTACATGAACAAAACAGCTCCATAGAGCAGGGAGACAACAGTCAGGTGAGAAGCACAGGTAGAGAAAGCCTTTTGGCGGCCAGTGGCTGAAGGAATCCTTAGGATGGTGGAGAGGATGTAGACATAAGACATTATTGTAAATAAGAGAGACCCTGGGATCACTAAGATGGTTGCTAGGAGACCCAGGAGCTCCAAAAGGGTGGTATCAGTGCATGCTGCTTTTAAAATGGGGCCAACATCACAGTAAAAATGATTGATGATGTTGTTGCCACAGAATGGCAGTTGGATAAGCAGCAACATCTGACCAAAGACAATGGTGAAGCCTATCACCCAAGAGCTGAGTGCCAGCTGCAGGCAAAGATTGCCGGTCATGATGGTGGAGTAATGAAGGGGTTTGCATATGGCCATGTAACGGTCAAAAGACATGACGGTGAGAATGAGGAACTCGGTGGTGCCCAGGAAGAAATGGAAGAAGGCCTGCAGTAAGCAGCATGGAATGCAAATAACTGTTCTTGCCACCACAAAGGTTTCAAGCAGTTTGGGAATGACTGTGGTGGTGTACCAGATCTCAAGGAAGGACAAGTTGCAAAGGAAGAAATACATTGGAATTTGGAGCCTGGGCTCAGCCCAGACTATGACAATAACAAGCCCATTGCCTGCAATGGTTAATATGTAGATGAGAAAGATCACTATGAAGAGAGGGATTTGTAGTCCTTGGATACCAGGGAAGCCTAGCAGAATGAACTCTCTGATTGCTGTGCCATTTCTCATTTCCCTTGATATTCTAAAAGAACAGAAAAGAAAGGAGCGCCTCAGAACTCTTACAATACACTTAAATATAGTTCTAATACAAAAAAGGAGCATTCTGAGTCCTTCAGACTCCCCCGACCCACCCACCCCACATGCACATACGCTCATAATGCTTTTTTTTTTTCCCTGATGATTTGGGTTTTGTCAGCTAAACTGGTTTGAATAGACTTGGAAAGTATTAAATGACTTGGAATAATGAAACAATGTCTTTTTATTTTTTATTTTTTAACCTTTATGTAGCTATGTTGTTGTTAAGTGCCTTCGAGTCTGTTGTGACTCATAGCAACCCTGTATAGAGTTTCTCAGAGCGGCTGGTGAGTTTGAACCACAGACCTTGAGGTTCAAACAAACATTGCAGTCGATTGCATATCCTACAGACAGTGCTACATAATTTTAAATTTGGTGCTTTTTCTTTCAATAATCCATATGATTATTTAAAATAAATTATACAATGATTTAAACACAACTGTGAGTTTTTAAGAAGTTAACTGCACTCCCATATTTTATTCTGAAAGAGAATTCTTGAGTTTTATATTATTTATATGTTTAAGAAAGCTGATTATAACAGACCAGGCGTCATCAAAAAGTTCCTGGAATAGCAGAATGGAAAGGTAATGGAAAATTTCCATGAACTCTTGGACGCCCACTAGTAAATGTATTTATACAACTAAAAGCTATTGCCATTATATTAGTTAGCGGTTCAACATACAGAGCAGATTTAAGTGCTGTCGAGTTGGTCCAGACCCATAGTGATCCTGTATAGAGTTTCTGAGGAGCAGCTGGTGAGCTTGAACCACCAACCTTGTGGTTCAAACAACTTTGCAATCCAGCACGTTAACCCATAGCACCACACCAGTAATAAACTTTACCTCAAAATTCCAAGGTCAGCTGAATCAGGGCCTGAATCAGTACGAGTTGCCATCAAATTGACTCTGACTCATGGGAACCCCATGAATATCAGGGTAAAACTGTGCTCCAAAGGTTTTTAATGGCTAAATTTTTGGAGGTAGATCACTAGACCTTTTTGCTGAGGTTTCTCTGGGTCGATTCAAACTTCCAACCTTTGGGTTAACAGCCGAGTGCATTAACCATTTATATTAAAAAGACTCCTCTGATACACGTTGTTGGTGTTAAGTGTTGATTCCAACTCATAGCGACTCTTTATAGGGTTCTCAAGGAGCAGCTAGTGCGTTTGAACCGCTGACTGTGTGGTTCAAACTGACCGTGGGGTCCAGTGCTTATCCTACAGCACCACACCAAGTACCTAATAAAGGTTTGAATAAAGACCTGTAGTTTCTCCTTGGAAAAACATAACATGTTGCTTTCCTGCACTGAACAACAAATAACAACAGATGCTAACATAAAAAACTGAAAAGAATAACAAGTGCTAAGGATAACAAATTGGAAGTTTTGGAAAGTACATTGTTACTAAAACTTTCTTTTGTGACTTTGTCTATTTCTTACTAATTAAGTATTCTATTTGCATATGAAATTCATAGGCTGAGAACTTTCTTTCTGTTCTACTAATGTTTAAGTGCCATCGAGTTGGTTCCAAATCATAGAGACCCTCTATATGTTTTCCGGGGGGCAGATGGTGGGTTTGAACAGCTGACCTTGTGGTTCGAAGTCCAGTGGTGACTCTAGTACCACATGAGGAGTCTTTATAGTCACTACTAATGTTGCCATTATTGCCACCAATCACCTATCAGTTTGTCATACTGTGATGACTTGTGTGTTGCTGTGATACTAGAAACTATGCCACAAGAATTTTAAATAACAGCAGGGTAATCCATGATAGACAAGTTTCAATGGAGCGCTAGCCTAAGAGTAGACTAACTAAAGTTAGTAGACTAATATTTTGAATGTTTAGCCACTGAAAACCTTATAAATAGCAGTGGAACATTGTTTGATACAATGCTGGAAGATGAGCCTCTCAGGTTGGATGGCACTCAACATACAACTGGGGAAAAGCTGCCTCCTTAAAATAGAGCTGACCTTAATAAGGTGGATGGAGTTAAGCTTTCAGGACCTTCGTTTGCTAATATTACATAACTAAAATGAGAAGAAAGAGCTGCAAACATCCCTTAATAATTGAAACCTGGATGTATGATGTATGAATCTAGGAAAATTGGAAGTTGTCAAAAATGAAATGGAACACATAATGATTGACATCCTAAGCATTAGTGAACTGAAATGGACTGGTATTGGCCAATTTGAGTCAGACAGTCATATGGTTTAGTATTCTGGGAACAAAAAACAGAAGAGGAATGGTGTCATGTTCACAGTCAAAAAGAACTTTTCAAGATCTATTTTGAAGTACAATGTTGTCTGTAACATGATAATATATCCATACATATCCTACAAGGAAGACCCTTTAAAATATCATTATTATTCAAATTTATACACCAACCACTAAAGAATTCTACAAACTTCTTCAGTCTGAAATTGATTAACCATGCAATCAAGATATATTGATAATTATTGGTGATTGGAATACAAAAGTTTGAAACAAAGGGGAAGGATCAGTAGTTGGAAAATATGGCCTCGATGATAGAAGTGATCCTGGAAACTTCATGACAGAATTTTGTGAGATGAGTGAATACTTCATTGGAAATGCCTTTTTTTTTCAACAACATAATAGGTGACAATACAAAGGAATCAAATTGAAAACATGTGTGGGAAGAAATGACGGAGAAGCTCAATATTATTAGTAGAAGCAAGGACAGGGGCAGACTGTGGAACTGACCATCAATTTGTTCACATGCAAGTTCACGCTGATGCTGAAGCAAATTAAAAAAACTCCACGAGAGCCAAAATATGACCTTGAGTATATATTACCTAAATATAGAGACTAGTTCAAGAACAGATTTAATGTATTATACACTAATGAGTGGACACCAGAAGAGTTGTGGGATGGTATCAAGAATATCCTATATGAAGAAAGTAAAAGGTCATTAAAAAAAAAGAAAACTAGAAAAAAGAAAAGACCAAAGGAGATGCCAAAAGGAACTTTTAAACTTGCTCTAGAGTGAAGAGAAGCTAAAGTGAACAGAAGAAATGAGGAAGTGAAAGAGCTGAAAAGAACATTTCAAAGGGCAGTTCAAGAAGACAATGTCAAATATTATAAAGAAGCATGCAAAACCCTGAAGTTAGAAAACCAAAAGGGAAGAACATACTCAGGATTTCTGAAGCTGAAAGAACTGCAGAACAATTTGAGTCTTGACTTGCAATATTGAAGGATTATATGGGCAAAATATTGAATGGTGCAAAAAGCATCAAAAGAAAATGAAAGGAATACAGAGTCACTGTGCTAAGAAGAAATGGTCGATGGTCAACCATTTCAAGAGGTAGCGTAAGATCAAGAGCCAATGATACTGAAGGAAAAGGTCCAAGGTGTACTGAAGGCATTGGCAAAAATCAAGGCTCTGGGAATTGATGGACTAAAAATTGAAATCCTTCAACTATCTGATATAGCACTGGAGGCACTCACTCACCTATGCCAAGAAATTTGGAAGACAGCTACTTGGCCAACTGATTGAAAGAGATCCACATTTGTGCACATTTCAATAAGAGGTGACCCAACAGAATACAGAAATCACTGGGCAATATCATTAATATTGCATACAAGTAAATTTGCTAAAGGTAATTCAAAAGTGGCTGCAACAGTACATTGATAGGTTGGCAGCCCGGTTTGTAACCACTACACTACCAGAGCTCCTTTTACTCTTGTAAGGAACCTGATTATGTGTGTATTATGAAGCCCCAGGAGCAGTAGCAGCAGTAGTAGACACGGTACTGGCAGTACCTGGGGACTGAGAGCTGTGGTTCCCAGCGAAGTAAAAGCAGTGTCAAGCAGAATGATGCAGAAAAAGAGAAGTGACAGGAACCAAGAGCAGTCATCTGGGCAGCTGATTGGGCTACATTGTGAGAACACATGACGTTCGGTGAGATTGTATGGTAGCTTAGGGGTCCTGGTGTGGCGCTGTAGGATAAGCACTGGACCACAAGGTTGATTTTAACTGTAAGGTGGGAGGTTCAACCTCACCAGCCTTTCCTTGGAAACTCTATACAGCGTCACTATGAGTCGGAACTGATTTCATGGCATTTTAACAACAACAACAACAACAACAACAACAAAGGGAACTTAGAGGCCTAGAGTTAGCAGGATAGCAATATTCAGAGAAATATAGGAAAGAAACCTTAGGAAACTAAAGTTATATGGAGTTTAAAGTACTGGACCAAATACAAGTCTATATGAGCATCAATTTTTAAATATATTCTCTAGACTATTTGTTTCCCTTTAGAAACGTGACAGTGCACATTAATCAACCACCAAAACAAAACAAAACAAAAAATACTTGCTGTAGAATTGATTCCTACATGGCAAACCCCTGTGTGACAGAGTAGAATTTTGCTGTATAGGGTTTTCAGTGACTGATTTTCTGAAAGTAGATCACCAGGCCTTTGTTCCAGGCCCCTCTTCGCATATTTGAACTGCTAGTCTTTCTGTTAATAGACAAGCTCTTAATTGTTTGCACTACCACCAGTGATAGCTCAGTCCTGTTAATTTTACCTTCATATTAACTCTCAGGAGTCGTGGTGTGGCGCTGTGAATTGATGGCTTGAACTGTAAAGTCAGTTTGAATGGCAAGGTCAACAGTTCAGGTTCAACTCCATGCTCCTTGGAAACCCTATACAGGGTTGTTATGAGTGAGATCGGACTCGATGGCACTTAACAACAACAACACAACATGAACTCTCCAATCTTTTCTTTTCTTTCCCCATTATCTGAGGCTACTTTAGGCGATGCAGCCATCTTGCACCAGAATTACAGTACAGCCTCCTAACTACTTGGGTCTGCACTGAGCTGGGAGGCAAATAAAGACAGTCATTTTGAAATTAATTCTAAGGATTGATGATTCTGGGTAAAGTGCAGTGAATAAAGACTTCTCTCATTTAGGAGGAGTCCT